TTTGCAGCAGCCAGATCACCAGTAAGTTTGCATTTTCATAAGAAAGCCTGGTCACTCTTCAGCCAAGTTCCGTAGCTCAACTGCCGCAGCGCAGCCAACTCTTTTGCATATGATGCTTCCTCTGCCAGTTTCTGACTTGAATTTCAAGCCCATCCTTTCTTCAATCAATTTTACCTTCTCTAGTTTCAAATTCTCGATCTCTGCAGCCTAAGAATATAAAAGAAAAAAAAAACATAATAAAGCCTTTATGAGCAAAGATCAAGACTTTTTCTATCTCCATATCATACAAGATTAAGATATAAATAAGATTGGCAGGGCCCTTGAGTTCTATATATCCATATTTTGTTCGACTTTACAAAGATAACCAAACAAATGCAAAAGAAATTTTATCATAGATGAAGTTGTTAGGTTGTGAACATTGCATGAGGGCAACTGTGGAGCCAGAAGTTTGTTAATTGTATTTTTCTTTTTTAGCTATCATATATATTATTTGTTTTATCATTTATTTTTCTATTTTTCATAGCGAAATATGATTGCATATCATATAATAGAAATTATTTTATATATTTTTTTTAATCAAGACTTCATTTATGCTCAAAATTATAACACTTCACATATATAAAACATCTATATTGTAGATAAGAAAAAACAATATACTCATCAGAAATCAAATAAATCAAAATATATAAAATTAAAAAGGTTACACACAAAAGAGAAAAGGATTTGAATCATTAGAGGGCTGTACATAAAAATATTAAAGAAAAGCTAGCTCCCACCCCCCGACAGATCCTACTTTTTAGTTAACAAAAAATTATAGAAATGTTACAGACAAATAATGTGGATTGATATTGCATCTTTTTGTCAGTTATTTTTTCCAAAAGGAAATCTTCTGAGCATTTACAGGTTCCAACAGTGTACAATCAACTACGACAATTAAAATTTTCAGATCATATATGAAATAGAAATTCATGACCCTACCATAAGACAATCATCTAACTATTTTCATTTGATGCTCTATACTTTTCAAACATGGTAGTTATTTCATTCTTATTTTCTTCTACTAAATTAAATACTACCACATGCTCATTATTTTATTTATTTTGCAGACTTATCTAACATGTCCATGTTATTTTTCTTATAAAACTTAAAACAACTAAAATTGCCATTTTAGAAAGCATAAGAAGTCTACGATACCAGTAGTATAGAATGATTGTTCTGACTCTTACTGTCGTGTCTATTACTCTCACATATATTTATTTAAATCGCAAGGCAACTGGTTTGTGTTTTTTCCTTCACATTCTTTTTTGTTTTAGATATTTTTGGAACAAATCCATAAATAGTGTGGAATTTATTTCCAAATTCAAACTTAGTTTAACTAGTACAATATGTAACTTGTATCAGGATGACAAAAATAACTGAGTATATAGGGAATTTCACGTGGAACTAGAACAACCCATCCCAAACCGCACCAAAACTGATGGAATTTGAAATGTATTATTTCAATTGCACATGAACTCAATTTTAACATCTTAGGTCGAACTTCCATCAAATTTTAGTTAAAATAAGTGCAAATAGATTCCACATAAATTTTGAATTTGTTTGAAATGTCGCATTGGTGTATTTCTGTTTGTAGTGGTGCTTGTGTGTCTTATGGTGTTTATATATCAACCTGTTTGTTGTGGCCATGTGGGATCAAAAATAAATAAACTTCCTAATAGTCATTGCTCATGAAATGGGTATAATGATTAACTGAGTACCTATAGTAGAACTGACAAATAAAAAAGAAAAAAATACCTGCATATGGACTTGTGAATTTAGGTAAGTCTCATCACTACCCTCTCTATTGTCCTCTCGAGAAAATATTCTATTCAAGCTCATGACACTTGTTGGTGTGGCTACATCCATGCAAGTTTCTTCATGTGATCCAATTCCCTTCCTTCTCTCAATGCTCTTTACTAATAGCTCTTTAGAACAAGGGAGATTGGTAACCTCATTTTCTGCAATTTTCTCTGGATTCTTGGAGTGATTCTCTGGTAATGAACTGAGTTGTTGCCTTAGTAAAAGGATAGTTTCTTGCATTTCAGCATTCTCTGACATCTATCAGCACAGAAAAGCATAACAATGTGTTCAATTTCATGAGCAAACTGAAAGCAACCACAAAAGGGTTCTGAAATTCTTACTTTCACTTGCAGTGCTCTTGAAGGATCCTATTATCTGCAGACTTAATCTGACCATTCCCAGTCAAAAGATCAAATTAGTAATGCTATCCTATCATCAATATTCAATACCATCCATACAGCTTCCATGCAAATAGGATAACAGACCTCAAGTTCAAAGATTTTCTCGTTTAGTTGTGTAGTAAGCTTGGACAAAGCCTGCATAAAAAGGCATCAGATTCGGTTAAAAAGAACAAAGAATGAGCAACATAAAACAAAGAAAAAAAATTTAAGAAAATGCTTCTCGTAGCTCTCTTGAATTGTATTCTTGTTTGTTGCCTACTTGTCTATGGGCAAAGTGCCTTTTTGGGCATTTTTACTCATGACAGGACATGTCAAGAGTCAGGAAGTTTCTAATATCTTGCTTTCCCTAGTGAATCCTCCTGAAGATATAGACATATTTCTGAGAAACATAAAATAACGTATCTTTCAATGAAATTCTAAAAATAAAACACAATGACAAGTTTGAAACCTGCAAGAGATAACAAAAACAGTAAATGAATTACACAATAACTCTTGTTAGAGCTCATCAGGCTGAAGATGCTTCCTTTTTTCAACTTTAAATGTGCTTATGAGCTTATGATGAGCATATAATCAGCAGGTGCCGAGAACCACTATTTTAGTTTTACAAACAAACAGATTCTGTATTAGGATGCTTATAAACAGCTTATATGCGACATGAAAAAGATTCTTTATAGGTTCACACAGAAAAGACTTCTTAGATTGAGCAACTTGTATCATCAGCAAGAATGAGCAGAGCAGGGATTAAGTCCTATCCACCACTTCACACATTTACCTGTGACATTTCAGCATTATTTGATGTATGTGGACTCATATTTACAGATCCAATCATTCGTTGTTCAAGTACACGAATTTGATGCTTTTTTTCATTAATTTCATCCTTCATTTTCTGCATTTGCTCCTAGAGTAACAAAAGAACCCGTTAATATCAATGAACTATGGGCATTGTCCTTGGATTAAGATTATCATATAACATCTCACCTTGAGCTGTGAGTCTTCCGGGTTGCCGACTGCTTGCTCTGAAAGCCTTTTCAAAGAACTGGTACATAAGGCCACCTCTCCTACTAACATTTTCATCTGTTCATGAAGAAGGTCCATCTGATCGGTAATGGTAATCCCAGTCTGTCAGAAAAGAAATTTAGATGTTTAATTTGTAAAAAAACAGCCGTGCAGCAATTAGCATCAGTAATGAAAACTCAAGCCCTTGATATCAAGGTTCCAGACAGGAGAAGGTACAGTCGATTCTTCAGGCATAATCCCTAATATAGAAGGCACCAATAGGTAATAAGTATAGTGGTTACATATCCTCTTACCTGTGCCAAGCCATGAACTCCAGCAGCTGCCCTAAATAAGTCACCTGCTTGGGTGCTATCAGGAAATGAATCAAGAAGTAGGGAAGCATCTTGCTGTCTACTGGTTGATTTTCTCCATCCATCCTTCGCACCGTTTAACATCAGCCTATTTTGTGATGATTTTGAAGAAGATGCAGGTGAACCACTTGCAGAGCTCCCACTATCAGCATTTGGTGGCAATCCAATGAGATTATCAGGCTTCTGAAACAGAAAATTGACATTTTATTTTTTGGTCATAGGAGCTAAAAGAATGACCAATTGCTACATAAACAAAGATTATCAGAAAACCATTAACATAAAGTCGAGGTTTGACTTAGTACTGAAATTTTCCGTTATTGTTGGTCAGTTCATTTTTAAATAGCTTGTTACAAGCGGGCACACACCAAAAGTCTCAAACATTTCATAGTAACTTTACTGGCCCCAGCAAACAAAACTCGTTGGCTGAATTTCTCTATGTTCAATTTGATACATCAAATTATCAGTAAATATTTTCAATCCCAAATGTTCATGTCAAAACTTATGGCGGCTAAAAAAACTCATTGCACCTGATTCCACTAGTAAAAAATAAATAAATTGGTGATGGCTACGTTGTAATTGCACACACATCCTACCCCAACTCACACATCCCACCCCAGCCTCGAAACAGAAAAAGGAAAAAGAGAATAGTATGGATGAGATCAGCATGTAGCATCAAATATTTTATTAAGAGCTCAAATGCTTGCTTTGCTTTCAAAAAAAAAAGTTGAAAAACGATATATAACATATTCTATTCACAAGGCATTAAAGAGAAACCACATAATTATAAAAGGAAGGTCCTTAGTGACAAGCAAAATTTTCAATTAGGTTGAATAAGTATCTGTTGGGAAGCAGCCAACACCGAACCGAGCTTTAAAGTTATCTCTAGTCCTATTGAACTTGGAAGGGTGCTATTACTCCCTCAGAACCAGTTATTAGAGGTACTTGTTTATGCTTATTTCAGACAAGTATAAGCAAAATAAAGAATGTGGTACAAAACTACCTTGTCATTAGTGTCAAGCAAAACAAAACCAACAAAATTCTCAAACCATAAACCACGGGGGTAGAGCAAAGCAACAAGAATACGGACTGACTTTCAGTTTAAACCAGCCAAGCATTCCACGCCTCCTGTTCCTTTTGAAATCTTTGACCAGCTCATCTATATTAGTAATATCATCCCTCCCTTCTGCTGAAAGCCCGGAAACATAGCTTCCAGCATCATCCTCAACAACGTACTCTCGTTTTCTATCTGGCAAATATGCTAGCTGCATTGCAATGAAACCAATTGTAAAATCAAGAAGATATAGGCATCAACTCAGTGTCAATGAATTTGTTAAATCAATAACATGAAACTTACAGAAACATAGTTCTACATAATAAACGTAGTTCTACATAATTCTTCAGCAGATTTTGAAAAATCATGACTCTGCTTTTCATGCAAAACCAAGGCACAAATGGTATCACAAACCTCATCTTCCCCAAAAGAATGCCTCCGTCTATGGCCAGGTCTTCCATGAATGCTTGATTGCATGGAATTCTTAGTTGAAACCAGGATTAGTTTTGTTAATCGTTGAATTCTTCCCATTAAAGCTTCCTTTGCTTGTTCCTCTTCTTCCAGTCTTGACTGTAATTTAACCTGACCAGCTTCCAGCTTTGACAACAAAAACATATAAAAATAAGGAGAAGAGCAAAGAACTTAAAAAATTTAGGAGGCACAACTAAAATTTCAAATTTTGACGCATGCAGCATGATGTGTTATATTTTTATTTTTATTTTGATATCCTTGTTACTTAAATTTATAATAAATTTAAATAAATTCTGAGTTAAAAATTAATTTATGAGCTAAATTTTGATGCAGGATATATTGATGAAAAAAAAGAGAAAAAAATGCTGAAAAGAAAAGAAGAGAAGAAGTCCAAAGGCCCATATCTGCAACTAAACCCAACCCAACAACACCGAAAACGATGTTGTTTTGAGTCTGTGAACCAGATATCAAAACAGCATCGTTTTGGGAAAAAAAAAAGATTTGCAGAACAAAAAAGGAGACTGGAAAGGAAAGGAAAGAGGCGTGCGCAAGAGAACCCTACCTCCCGCTGCCTACAAAAAGGAGATCTGAGGAAGAAGAAGAGGAGAGATTGGACAGAAGAAAATAGCAGAGAGAGAGACAGGAACTAGAGAGAGAAAGTAGAAACCAGATCTGCAAAGCTAAGACCGAGAGACAGAGTGCGAACTTCGTCGGAGAACACAGCGAACGCGAGAGAAAGACCAGAGCAGCGATGAAGAGCAGATCCAGATCTGATTGCAGAGAAGCAGATGAGCAGAAGCAGAAAGGCAAGTCAGCAGGTCTGGTGGAAAGCAGAAAGCAGACGTGGTGATAGGGAGAGAAGCAGAAATAATTAATCACGTAATATTTATTTAATGTTCAATTAGCATACTTTTGGGTAGAAATTTTCTGGGAATTTTTTATAATAAAATGGAATGTTAGTGTCTGGAATCCACTATGTCTAGCTAAATTTTCTTCGCTGAAGTGATTGATGTAGTCTAAATCAAAGGTAAATTTGTTGTTTAATTTTTAACTTTCTTCTGATTGCAATTTAATAGTATTAAATTTAAATCAGTTGTGAGAATTGGTTAACTCATATCTTTATTTGTGATTAACGATTTTACAGTAGCAGGAGTAAAATTTCATTAATTAAACATATACTATTAAACACTAATTAAAACTTAAACAAGAGTAATATAATCAAGTTAACATGAAGAAATCGCATTATCACATATTTAATTGAATCAAATTAATAATTACTATAAAATGCTAGTAATTGTTAATTGATAGATCTAAAGAATACTGGGAGGGAAATCAAAAATATATTAGGATACTTTTAACATTGCAAACTATATTAAATCGATTGCGAAATTAAAACTCGAATATACTCAAGATTCAAGTGAAATCAATTACCCTAATGCATCTTCGTCGATAGTTTTCCTAATTTTAATTAGTTTGCTTTGATTAAATTATTTTAATTTTTTTCTTCATAAATTTAACTTCGATTTTTAGAAAACAATAGAATTTATACAATTTTGGTATTTGATACATAGTTCCTGTAGGACGATACTCTACTTATCACTTTATTATTTGAACAACTTCGTGCACTTGCGAATTCGTCCATCATAGCACCAGATAAAACATGCTCTTTTATTAAGACACAAAGGTCCAAAGGAAAGAAGGAAAACAGAAAATGGAGGATAGTAATGCTATTCTACCATTTATCATACTGGAGTTTGATAATGTTTATTGAAGCTTGTAGAAAAAGAGTCAAAAGATTTTACTAGCAATGCCTAATTGGCACTCTGAAAATGCTACCATGATAAAAAGTAATGACCAAATATCTTTTTATTGCATCACTAACCTGAAGTTTCAAGTTAACTAAATCTTCCTGGGTTGATGTAGCCATATATGGATTCTCCATCATTCCACGCTTTAATTGCTGAAGCTCTTGCTTTAAATAGGAAATTTCTTTCTGATACTTCTTGATGAGGGACTTCTCATCCATAATCTAAAGGAGAAAACACCTTATAAGATGCTGAAAAGATGACAACAAAAGGGCCAAATGAAAAAGAAATTTTCACTTTTTCTTATTTCGTACTGAAGTAACCTTATTTTGCGAAGCCTTGATTTCTACATGCTTGCTCCTATGGGCAAACTTTAATGTGTTGTGTGTCTCTTCACTGTTGCTAGAGGCAGGTGTGATAGTGCAAATAAGCTGTAACATAATGTGGAAGGATCATCAATATGAATGCATAAACAAACATTGTAGCAACAAAGATGAGAAAGCAGTAGCAGGAGGAACAGTAACACATAACAAGAAGATACCATCCAGAGTATGGAAAACTATTCACAAAAAGGAACACTTGAGGAGGATAAGCTGCAAAAAAAGTAAATGACTTTTGAATAATTAAGGGACTGATGTGAACTTACAGATACCCGTCCATAGCCACTAAGAGATGATTGTAACAAACGAGTGAGTTTTGAATCTCGATAGGGAATATGAGTTGCCTTCCCATCTGTCAGTTTAGAGATCACCTGTAGGTTGCAACGAATGAGACCAGTGATCAAAATAGAAAAACTTTAAATTCAAGACAACAAAAAAGGTAATGCATTACGGTGCCAAGAGTGAGTAAGCTTTTATTTATGTATGAGCCCTCCTTTCTACGCAGCCCAGTTGTTTCAGTTTTGGAACTTTCAGAACCTGCAAGATCAATAAGGTGCTGCAAAGAAATATCAGCAATAATAAGGTTAGAGAACCAGATTTGCATAAAAAGAAAAACTTGCTATTTGGATGCATGATAGTATAGAATGAGACACAGACACGAATATTAGATCTTATAGTCTGTTTTATCCTGTTGATGATGAAAATTAAAATAGAACAAGTGTGCAAAGTTCTACCAACTGAGACAAAGTAACATCTTCTTCCCCTGGATTTTCTTCACATGAACTGCTTTCAATAGTCTGATAATTAATATTCAGTAAACGAAATATCAGGAAAGGAATCATAAAAAAGCATATAAATCATCAAATGAGGTCTGAATAGAAAAGATGCATAAACACCAGGAGTTGACACATGCATTATCCTGAATATAAATAATACCTTGTAAGCATGAGAAATTAGCAAGCACTATAAGTACTGCAAGAGAGAGTCACTAGATTCAACAAGCCAATCAACACAACGTACAGAGATATTCAAGAACTAGCAAATTCTAGAAAAGAGATGGAAAAGTCTAGCCAAGCAACCAATTAAAACTTACATAAGTTAGTGCTAGCTATTATTTTAATCTCATAACTTTACATATGTTACAAATTAGTTCCTAAACCTTTTTTTATTAAAGTTAGTTCCCAAAATTAACCTTTATACATTCAATTTAAAGAAAGTTAGTCCCTATGGAAGTTGAAAAAAGACTAAAACAGGACTTGATTGAAACATCCATGATAATTTGGGAACATTTATGACTAATTTATAACAAGGCTGTAACTCTTGCCAGTAAACTGGTATTTACCCTACTGGAGACGTAAGTTAACATGGCTTGATGGAGTATGCTATAATTTTTTTAAGCTTGCTTGAACCATTCTAGAAGGAAAGAGAGCATTTTTAAAAATAATAATAATAATAAGATGATGTCTAAAAATGCAAACTAATAGAAGATTTTCATCAATAATTGCTAAAGACCACAGTAAGACAAAGATGTCGATGGACTGTTTGGTTTAAGGAAATTTTCCTATTTTTGAAGGAAAAAAATTTTACTTTCTAGGAAACAAATAAAAAATATCCTCAGTTGATAAACTAGAAAAAAAAAACTGATTTACTTTGATTTTCTTCCAATTTATGATATCTAAAATATATATTTCCTGATTTTCTTAGAAAATAGAGAATTTTGTTCCAATTTAGGATATCTATGACATATCTTTCCTGATTTTCTTAGAAAATAGAAAATCAAAAATAAACTTCTGAAACTAAGCAGTTATGCTGCATTCTGCTGCTTCAGTTCCCACATTAAGATCACCTATATTCCTCTCTCCTGGAAATTAATTTATTTTATCTCCTTATCTACTTTGATATAAGAATGATATCCAGATTTGGCTAAGTATCTTAAAGTATCCTATAAAAATCCAACTGCCCAATGCCTGATCAAACTGAAGCACTCAACTGCTTAAACTTTGCAGAGCCGCACTTCTGATTCTCTTTCAATCTCATTTCATGTGAAGTGGCATAGATTGTTCTGTGAATGCTAAATTTTATCCACCAAAAAACCCCTTCAAAAACTATTCCAAAACATCAAAACACTATATATCCTTAATATTTACCCTTAATCCCCTTTCTCTCCTGAACACAATAGAGACCCAGTATATATCCCCAAACCCAGGCATTGCAAGTAGGGTGAAGAAGAAATTCAAGATTTATATGTCAAGGAACCAGTTCCACAACAAATTTTCTCTTCTAATTGGGGAAAGAACAAAACAAAATGTAAATGAATCTTTCCAGTGAAGCAAGTGTGACCTGTATTTTTTTCTAACTGAAAATTCGAAAGAATTTTAATTTTTGAAAAGAAAATGTTACCAAGGTGAATATTGTGTGGCTCCTGCTGCTAAGAAGATTGAAATTATTGGAACCAACATGCCTGTGTTCTGCAACAATATCAGCAAGAACATGTGAAAAGCTGAACAATTGGCAAGTTAAAGTTAATAGATTTGGAAGCTCTTTATTTTTTGAAAGCAAAACAGTAATAACATTACAGAAAAACAAGATGGTATCAACCTGGTCCCTGGTACAAAAGAATGATTTACAATAAAGACTTATACAAATGTTTATTGAGTATTCTAGACAACTGGTGAGAGATGTCAGGGACCCTAACACGAAATACTAAGGGGTCCAAAACCAAATATCTCTGATACTGCAAAAAAGAAAGATGTGAGCAACATAAAGGTTCAACAAGAAAGAGCAATTTCAGTTGAGAAATAAATTTCAACATAGAACATGATCAGAGAAATAAAAACATAGACAAAGATTATGCTCCAGGAGAGCATAATAAATGAAAATCATGTCCAAATAAATGGCAACTAGTTTTAGGAAAGCTTTCATTATCCAAATACCTTCTCCAGTTGCTATCAAGGACAGAGCATGAGCAGGGGATAAAACAACTTCCTCTTTGATTCCTTCAACATAAGTCCCCTGCCAACATATAACAGCATTTTATTTTTAATAAAAATATTACGAATGCGTTCTTTAAAATAAAAACTGAAGAAAAGATTGTAAACTACAAACTCCAACTATGCATGTCACATACAACATCCAATAAGATGCAACTACAAGTGCAGTGGTCAAGATGAGTAAAGCAAAAGAGCAAATCTGCTTTTTAAAAGATTCTAAAGCCAAAAAAGATAATGGAGGAAATAAAAATGATTACGATAAGAAATGGAGGAAACCAGCCAGTTGGTCAGTTTCTAGGAGGATTAATGTGGTGATAGTCATTTTGAAACTTCAGCTTCCTTTGGAAAAGAGGTGGGACTCTTTGGAGTTTCTTAAGTCTTGAAACCCAATGAGTGGGCAGTTTGTGACATGATGTTATTATCCCTGTTTTGTGATGTAGTTAAGGGCCTGTTTAAAGAGAAATCTAAGTTAAAGTTAGAAGAGTCCTTCTTTGATTTTCTGACTTTAGGACCTATTTTGAATGTAAGGGCTCATTAAGAACTTGATGATCCCAACTCAAATTTGAAAGTCTTCAAATCTACCCATTACAGGATAGGTAACCTCCCACTAACATAAAAGACCGAATCTCACACACAATAGTTTTAAGAAACTGCTAAACTGCCCAACTTAACTACACAAATCTGTATTTCCTACTAAGTGTCATAAGAAATTAACCACAAGAAACTGTAATGCCAAGTTAACTGCAAAAAACTAAACAAAGTACAACTGTTCATCAAGCAACCTCTGTTATGGATTCATGCTAATCCACAAACTCCAATTAGAAAAGTTTTTTGCATTGATCGTGACGAACAAATTTTCATCACAGGTAAAACAAATTCCCTTCACACAAATCTAATCCATCTCTAGCTTGTTCAGGTGTTTAACAAATTGAGACCTAGAAATTGAAGATAATTGCTTTGCTCTCTCCAAAAGAGAATCATCAAATTGTCCTGCTCCACATGCCGCTCATATAATCTAGCCAAACTCATGGAAGTAGCTACATCATTGAGGCACTGCCGTTCATTCTCAACAGCAATAAGTCCTTCAAACCACTCACAAAAATTTGTACCTCCTGCTCTTGAGTGTGAGTGCTTGCACAGGCTGCCAACTGCTCAGAGCCACACCACTATTCTTCTAGTCCATTTTGACTGCCTAGGGAGCTCCCCAAGCTTGTTTACTCTGAATTGGAGGTCCAAAATGCAAGCTGCAATGTTGCTTGAATCCTCCCAAGTTAATTGGTCTCTTTACAATGCACGAAACTACAGCTGTACATCCCCTTCTAAATGTTTCTTCAAGTGTTCTATGACAGCAAAAGAAAAGCTCACAATGATTCGGCCACCTCAATGAATTAACAAGTTGCCATCAAACAGTGAACATAAACAACCCCATCCGCATTTTCTGCTCCAGTTACACACAGGTCATGCCTTCATATTGTTCAGGTTTGTTCCAAATGCATTTTGAGAGAGTTCCTCCAACTGAGTAGCCAAATCTTCTTATTTACCTTCATATGTTGCTCAATCTTTGCTCTCTCACCTACTTCTCATGCACAATCTTCTTGGTACAGCTTCTAAAACACCTCAAATTGCTGCTGAGTATGGGAAATCCCCCATAGTTATTTTCTGATA